TACACAAATATGTACACACTTAGATATGAGACATCTTTTGTTTAGGAAGTTTTGACTCTTAATATTAATACTAGTATAGTAATATCTTTAAATAATTGCTTTAAGTCCCTTTTTTGATGATTAAAATACATTAGTTCTCTCTAAGAGCAATACTGAAGACAGCTAATAATGTCTTGCTTTACCCTTCTTCTCCTAGCTAAAGTTACATCGCTTACTTTAGACAATGCTTATAAGGCAATCAGATAGTTGAATATAATTGTTATAAACTCTCCCCACTCCCCTCTACTTTCTGTTAGCTGCACTGACTCTATGTTGTCACAGCACAGAGCCACTCCACATGACATCCTTTCCCCTAAATCATGGCTGGCACTCAAATCCTCAGGTAAACCTGTGCGGGATGCTCCATAGCTCCTCACACCCATCTCCCTCAGAGGGTGACTGTCAGAAGCTCATTCTTCAATCAATTCCTAAGGAAAAGATCACGAAAATATGCCAGCATTATCTATGTTGATAGCAGTCTAAGATCTTTGTAATGAAAAAGTCATTTTGGCTAGGATCCTTGACTCGTATTTTAGAAACTGGAAGACAGAAAAGCCATTGCACTCCATTCTTTGGGCAGAAAGCAACTGTTGCTAAAATCTCTGATGACAACTGGGACTTTCTTTTTCTTAAAAGTGACTGTTTTTTCTTTAATTAAAAAAACATTTATTTTAAATTCCTAAGGCTTTCTCTAGAATAACCATTTTGGTTAAGAGATTCATCTTCTTAGGTGCACTATACCCCCTCAGATGTGTACTTTCAGGCAAATGTTCTTCAGCTAAAAATGTGTCTTCCTCTGCTTTGGCTTTCTACCTGGATCTTTTGCAATAAATGGATTGCATTTTCTTTCTACTGCCTATACCTAACATTTGCTCTCATTTTTTTTTTATTTCTTCTTTATATCTTTTGGACTTCTGAAAGTTTTCCCTTTCCTATCTTCTCTCTCCCTCTCTCTCTCTCCCTCTCTCTCTCTCTCCC